AACTACTCTCTCTCTCTCTCTCTCTCTCTCTCTCTCTTTGTTTATTCTTCTCTAGATCATGCTATTAATTGTTCCATTGTTTTTTTGTGCTTTTGGCAAATATCAGCTGAACTTAGTTTGTCCTTTTTGTATGATATCAAAATTGACAATTGACATCCATATTCCATCTTTTTTTATGGAAATGTTGATTCAGTTTCATATTTTTAGGTTCCAAATGTCAATTTCTGTTATAAACTGAAGTTCTATTTAATGTCTTTTATAGTGTGAATTTAAGTCAGAAAGTTGTGTTGTTTTCTGAAACATGAAACCTTTGTTAGAGGTTCTGCTTAGACCTATTTATTCGGGCTATGTGGTCATTCTTTTTAATTCCAAGTGGAGAACTAAATTGGGAAGATCCTGTCTGCAATTTCACATTTTCTTTAACGAATGTCTGTTTAACTTGAGGCCATCTTATTACATTGAGGGAGGGGGGGGATGGTATTGCTAGATTTACACTGAGCTGTTTAACAACTCCTTTGGGTTTATCTGATGTGCATGATGTGCAGGTTCTGGAAAGGTATGGAGTATTGAGGATTATACTTTCTGTATTATGGAACTTGATCCATCTCATAGTCTCTGTTATTCATTTTGCCATCCGAATGGCGAACAAGCTACAACACTATGTTATCTTAACTGGACTGCTGAAGAAGTACAAATCTATAGATTTGCGGAAACTGCAGCACATGGCAATTGTGATAGAAAGTGAAGAAGCAACCCAATTAACAAAAGTTTACCGCCTGCTCTATTGGTTATCATACATTGGTGTGCACCATGTTACTCTTTATGATATGGATGGTAAGAACAAATGTATCAGTTGGTTAGCAAAAGTTTACTGCCTGCTCTATTGGTTATCATACATTGTCGGGTTGGGCCTGCCCCTGACCTGCCCTGACCTGCTTACACCAAAGTGTTTGGCCTGTGGGCCTCCTTGTATATTAGCACCCGTGGCAAAATAAAGTTTATCCCCTGCGCACATTCTTTCCTACAAACTGGTCAATATCAATAAAAATGATGCGAACCTTGATATGGATATTATTTATTTTGCTAAACTAGGGAAATGTTGGTTTTCTAGTGGTCTTAATGCCTTTTGGTTATCACTTCTTGTGATTCAGGAGTATTGAAGGAGTCTAAGAAATTCCTTTCACAGAACTTGCGCGATCTAAGTATAAAGGCATGGCAGGTATTGTTCTCATTCTGAAACAAACCATTTTTTGGCCTTCATATATCCAAACAAATGTCAATACGACAAAAAAGAGGATAAATCTGTGACTCAAATAATCTCTTGGGCAGGAGGCAGAAAAGGCAGCTGCGTTTTTGGATAAGAAGGTCATGACTTTGGAAATCCTGTCCTTCTCTGACTCAAAGGAAGCAGTCGCCAAAGCAGGAAATTATTTGTTGTCTACCTATCCAGAAAATTCTGGTTCAGGTGGACAGAAAATTGAGATGAGCATAACTGAGGATGACTTGGGCAAGGCTTTGTGTGCTGCTGGTCTGAACCCCTCTTTCCAAGTTTTAGTTATTATTCATTTAGGCATTTTGGGAATGCTTGCCAAATGCATGACATCTTTTGGACATGAAATTACCCTTCCCTCGATTGCAAGTCAGTCAAGGGAGGGGCAGTTTTTGTCGTTCGCCTGGGCCACTGGCAAAAGTAATTTTATAAACCATGTGTGTTTGGGCTGAACTACCTGCCCTTGAATTATTAGAGTATTATCATCACTGTACTCAGTAAATGAATAGAAGTACCTCTCCTCAAATGACTTACAATGGAGAGGGGGTAATTCATGTCCAAAAAATGCGATGGATGTTAAGGTAGTTTCACCTTACAAAACCCATTTATTTGTTTATTCTGACAACTTCAATTTCAATCTAAATGTAGGTACAAACCTTCAATTCTCCTCACTGCAAAAAAAATTTGAGCTGCTCTATTTAATTTATGTTAATGATGAAGTGATTCTCTTTTGACATGTTACTGGTTTCACTGTGTTCATGATGCCAGGATTTGGAGGACCAGAGCCTGATCTTCTCTTTGTCTTTGGACCTGCTCGATGCCATTTAGGCTTCCCCGCTTGGAGATTGAGATACACAGAGATTGTGTAAGTTCCTGTTTCATTCTATACCATGCTTAATATTAGTTTCAGATCATGTATTTAGAGTGAAATTCAGGCTCGGGGTGGTGTGTTGGAGAGAATTTATAAGGAGATAGCAAGTTGGAATTTCTGGCTATATTTTGCGTTAGTATTAAATGTGGAAGGTTCTAAAAGGGTAAGGAGAAGGCCCAAAAGGGTACATGGATAGAAGTAGTGAGAAGTGACTTTTGATCTTAGTGAGAGTATTATCCTTGATTGAGAAGAATGGAAAAATATAATTCATATAGTCGACCCCAAATAATTGAAATAAGACTTGGATGATGATGATGATGATTGAACATATCGATATCGATATCTATTCATATTGTGGCCATATATATATATATATATATATATATATATATATATATATATATATATTACTATATACTTAGTATAGTATACTAATTCTTAATTTACTTTACGTAGTAAGTAGTCGTCGTCGTGTAGGTAGGTGGTAGTACGTACGTACGTGTA